TGGAAACTCCCTGAATGAGCAGGGCTTGTTGATGTGTCTTCATTTTAGAATGAGATAGAGGAAAGCTGTTTTGTTTTCTTTTATTCCCAATGGAGGAGCACTAAAAGCTAGTAACTTAGATCTTTTCTCTTAGGACAATTGCATAGAGGAGAACCCTCTAATATCCTCACTAGATTTCTCTGCCAGCATCAGAGAAATCTAGCAGAGAACATGAAATAAAGGTCCCGTTTCCTCCAGGAGGTCAGCATCTAGACTTCCACTTAATTCTCCAGTTATTGGTATCGCATTTCAAGCTTCCCAGTGGTACAAATCCCTCAGAAAGTGAACTTGTATTCTGCTGGATGAGAGAAGTGCAGGGGCCCCACTGGGCTAGTATGGAAAGCAACCTCTGGACTAGTTATCCTAATCCTCAACTAATACCTGTTGTCAGCTCCCTCCCATGGTCTGCCTTTTCAGAAGTGCCTAATAGTCTCCATGTGCGAGCCTTCCCAGATTCTACAGTGGAAATAGAATGGCTCCTTAATGACTTCCACAAAGCACTGATCTATACTGATTTTTAAAACACCAGTATTCTATTTTAGGAAAATGTTCTGCATTTAAAGTCTAATTCAAAGGGACCAGCGGATGGTATAATGGTCATATCACTGGATTCCCAAGTAGGCAACCACAGTTCAAGTCCCAGACTTAGCAGCTTAAAACTAATGCTGGGGACGCATTGAGTGCATGCCCAAAACCCTGAGAGAAGATTGGAAGAGAAGGGACTGTAGTGTGACCATCCTCCCTGGGGAGCAAGGGCGATATCTTGCTTTCCATTCTGCTGTCTCTCTGGTGAACACACAGGCCCCATAGCAAAACTTTCTCTCTTAAAAAAAAAAAAAAAGAGTCTAATCGATGAATTACATACTTAAAAATGGTTAAGTATACTATTTAAGTATAAGTTTTATGTTATACGTATGCCACTTTTTATGCCACTAATTAAAAGCATTACAGAATATATTGAATACATAGGATATAAAGATATGAATACAGATAATAATTTGGCATAAGATAGGATATAGGATACATATCCTGGATAGTAAGAATTGTTTATATCCAGATAAATTAATAAACCATTGAGACCAGCAGATGGCATAATGGTTACGTTGCTGGACTCCTACGTCGACCACATTTACAGTTCAAGTCCTAGACCTGGAGGCTTTAAACTCATGTCGGGCATGTGTGCATGTCCGAGATCCTGAGGAGAGAAGGGAGGAAAAAGGATTGTGGGGTGGCCACCCTCCCTGGGGAGTGATTTTTCACTTTCTGTCACTGGTGAGCGCATGTACCCTATAGCAAAAATCTTAGTTCTGAATAATAATAATAATAATAATAATAAATGGTTAAAACAAATATCTCCATGTACCAAAAAGACTTTATTTTGGGGGGGCTATAGGATGCGTGCATTTGCTGGAGACAGACAGAGAGAGAGGGAAAGTAAGAAATTACCCCTTGGGGGGATGGCTCCTCCATTCTCCTCTAGGGATTTGGGGCACAGGCTTATTTTCAAGCCACCAGGTCAAGGACTTGAACCGTGCTGTCAGCTATGTGGGATTTAATGCCTTAACCACCACACCACCTGCTGGCCCCAACAATTTTTTTATTACTGCAGAAAACAAACTTAAAATCAAAGCAAGCTATACTCATTACTC